TTGCTCCTCCTTATTTTTCCATGCAATTATACCCTGGTCATTGTGAAGGAGCTATTTGATCTGACATATAAGTTATCAATCAAGGTTGAGCTGTTAAGGTTTCAAATGTTACTAAAAGGTGCACCATCCTGACGTTGCCACAGGCCTGACTAAAATTAAGATCAAATGCATTATACAATCAAAACAAAAAGTACCACTGCATAAGGAAAGGATTAAAAAATAAAAAAATGTGCCTAAATTCTGAGGTCTGTTTGTACTGGACAGTTCTGGGGGGACTGTCATCAATTTTATTTTCATGAAACACCGAACCAGAGAAAAGAAGCAATGTGAGAGACAAGTCCAATGTCTTACAGATGTTGTCGAACAATTTATAGTACTAGGGAAAAAAGATAATAAAAACATCGTCAATAATCATTCTATGCTTCAAAGAAAACGTCACCAAAACAATTACTGGTCAGGCAAAATAAAATCCATGAGTGCAGCTCTTTTCATGTACTAACCCCGCAAAGAGACCACAAAATATCTCTGGATTTTACATCTATTTATCTACAACCAATACCTGGCGGGAAACACATAAGGCAGAGTGAGTGTGATGGCTGTGGATAATGGCCTTATGCACGTGAGACAATGCTCCCGCATTTACGTCAATCACGTCAATATGAAAGAGAAGGCTGTAGAAAAGGGAGGCAGCTAAGGACACATTCTGAAGGTGGTTGACTCACATCCTAATTATTTTACACATCAGCATTCAAACTGAATCATTACAAATAAATACCAAAGTATGCAAATGGCCTCTTGTAATTGGCAAAACAATGATAAATATCAGCAAATAAAAATGTCCAGGTTAGTCATCTCATGGTAAGAAGCAAGTGGCTGAGATACACTTTACCACCCAAAAATGTTGTGTGTACAGCTGATTTTATTTTCCTGATAAAAAAGGAAGCAGATGACAGCCCATGGGAAACGTAATTCTTCATTTGTTGTATGTCGTAATTCTTAAATCCACCAAAGCTTTTATGGTAAGAATGAGGTAATAGTCAAGACTGTGCCTGATACTAAACTCGGTTGCTCCAACATTAATTGAGAAAAATGAGTTGTACTCTAGCTGTAGCTAACTGTACCTTGGCTGGACCCTTCTTTTCTGACAGTGCATAGACATACAAGCATACTGTGTCACGTGGTAGAGGTCAGGTTCAGTTTACTTACTGATTGTAAGTTTCAGAAACAGCACTCTAAAAGAGACCAGACCGTCCACAGTGGCAGGTTTTCTGAGCATTGGTAGTTGAGACCATTAGACAGTTCTGTACACCACAGGCAATCAAAGGACTTGCTGGGAAGTTTTAGGGTGAGCTGCACAAAAAGCAAAATCAAGAGCAGAGGATCGGCAAACCAGGAACCAAGACGCAATAAAAAAGAATTCCGGTTTATCAAGACTGCAAACACAGAAAACTATGAAACCTGAGACATGACAGCAGAGGCCATAAACCCAGCCTCACAAAATGGGAAACAAGAATCCAGACTGGTGAGGCCCATGATCCCACCGCGACAACGACATGAAGCCCTGAGCCGTACTCAAGGCTCAGTCCACAGACGATTCTGAGCCTGCTACTTCCGGTTCAGAGTAGCTATCCCTGTTCCTTCTGTTCAGATGTACTGTATGTTGAACCTGGAGTAGATAACCAAATCCACATGCATGTGAAGATAATGGTTTTGTTACACTTTTGTTGCATATTTTAAAACCTGTACTACAGAGAAAGAAATGCATATATGGTTGCTGTCTCAGTTACGTATACAGCATGTGTCAGTTTCTAATTTAATCAACAACAAATGCATATACTACATGATTGGAAAATCTAAAATGAATGAAGGTATCTTAAAAAACTTCAGCAACATGTTCTCTTATATTAACCAATTCAAGACTCTCCAGGGCACAGAGAAGCACCTCTTTGGCCAGAGGACCTACACAACGATCACCCTTCCTCTGTGTTCCTCTCCTGGTCACCTTTCAGGAGCAATAACTGTAAATTAGAATGGCAGTCAAGGTAGATTTTTTTTCTTATTGGACTTCAAAGTGTTCAACAGTTGTCAGGGAAACCAGTGTGCAATTCATTAAATGCTAACAGAATGACTGAATAGCTCCAGTCGACTTTGGCACATGGGATAACACTTTAAAAGAAAAAAAAAAAACATTAAAAAAAACTCTAACAGAAACCATTAAAGCCTGGTAGATAGATAATAAAGATATTTTCCATTTTGTTTCTGACTATTTTTTAAACATAATTATATTGCTGAGCTGTTCATGATTAATCTTTCACTCACATTGTTAATTCTCATCTATTATCTTAATTACAGCTTAGTGCTTATCGTTATTGGCTTTCAGGTGCTGCTGATATTTATGCTAAATCTCTATCTCATCACTGTTACTACCCTATTCATATCTCACTTCTGACATCACCATTGCAGACACATGTCAGATGGGCTTCCGTGCAAATAAAATAAAATAAAATCAAAATAAAAACACAAATAAAAAAATAGCAATTGCTTGGAACGGGTGCCAGAATAAATGTAAATATGAAGGCAATGGGTATGTTGATTAGTCACTTCGAGTCACTGTCCTACTGCCTTTGGTATTAAAACGCTAAGTTAAATTTGATCATACCCAAAGCCTCCTGGGTGAAGTTTGTCCATAGACCACAGGTCCTTTTGTTATTGTATTTCATAGACAGAAGAAGACGTTTCATGTTTCTGTCAAACCAGTTAGCGGCAGTTTCTTTGGGAAATGACTCAAGTTACATCACATTGCATGTGAAAGGGAATCTAGTATCATTCATTGATAAAACGGCATCTAAAAGTACAGGTTTGGAAGTACTTGGATAAATGCCAGAAGCTTTGATCAATAAGCTTTTTATTGACCCTTAGGATGCTGCATTTAAAAACCAACTTTAGTTCTACGCTCACTCCTGCTCCACAGCTAATAGCTGATGACATGAAGCGTATTGCTCTCTTGAACAGTATCTCTGTAGAGAGAAGAGTTATGGAAGTTAGTCATAGCATTGACCTGATTAAAAATGTACTCACATAGAAAATCATGTGCATTCAGATTAATTTAGTTACGCACTAACAAAACACACGCCTTCTATGGCAAACATTGTACATTTACAACTTTTACTATCGACAGAAATCAATGGTGGGCACAGATAACTGAGAAATTAGCTTTGATTAGCACTAATTCGTTAACCTTAACAGCTTAATTCAATAACGCTGAACCAATTGATCACTAAAAAAATAGCGCAAGCTAAATATAACCAGTAACTGCTAACTTTTATTATATGAAATTAGCTTAGCTTTGGTTTTTGGCTCTGAAACCCTTAAAAACATACCAAGATATCTAAAATTTTTAACCTGTTTAACACTGAAGTTGCATCTGTCAAAACTAGAAAGGAGGGTCTTTATTGGTCTACAGCTCTGTCAATCAGAGCCTAGAAAAAACAGCTGTAGGCAGGATTTCTTCTTGCTCAGCCAGATAACATGTTGGATTTAAGATAGTTGGAGCTAAATGTAAATGAACAAAGATGAAGTCTATTTAAACTGGGGTACCCTAAACTAAGCGGAGAAAAGGGGCCTGTATCACGAAGGTGAATTTCTTGCTTAGCCGGATAACTTGTTGGATTTAAGGTACCCTTAGATCACTGGATTACACCTTGGTTTTAACTATTATGGGATACTTTCTCCTTTCTCCTCCATGGAAGACTTTGCAGATTTTATACCACAGGAGCCCTGGACAGCTGGCTTGCGTTAAGTCCTCCCATGTTTCAGAATAGCTTCTATCCCTCCCAGCCCACAAGGTGCAGGTGTGTAAATCTGAGCTGTCAAGCCCCAAGAACCAACTTATACACCGAAATGCTGTCCTCAGGTGGCATGACTCAGCAGCCTCAGGAACGACAGTAGTGGTCGACTGCTAAGCTCTGAAGAGGCAGCTGTGAGACTAGAGTGAATTACTGCTAAGGGCGGAGTTTCATTAAATAAGGAAAAATAACAGAGCAAATGTCTTCCATGTGACGTGGGCACATCTCTCCAATCATGGCAGCATGTGCGATATGATAAAACAAACAGCCTAAAGGCATGTAACTGCACTAAATAAGGTTTGTAGCCGATATATATTCGATCAAAATAATAATAATAAGAAAAAAAAACAATTGCACACAAAACTTTTTTTTTCAATTTTATTTGTAAATGCCTCTTATGAAGAACAAGGAAAAAATATATAATATATATTTATATATAATGAATTGTCGTTATATACACTTGTATACAGCTTTCTACCAGAAATATACAAGGTCACAGACTTATGGTGTTACTGGAAGGATCTTCTGATTCACATGAATGCAGCTACATGTCTGCTTATTTACATACATTCATTGGTTGTGACACACACCTGTTATATAACAAACGTTTCATTCAGACGGGAGGAATGCATTGCTGTATGCAGAGTCTTCTAAACACCAACACAATAACCAGTCACGACTGCTGCTGCATTTCCATGGCATACAGGCTGACCCTGTTTGGTTTAAGGGCATAGAGGAATGCACAGAACAATACAAAGACCTTCTCCCACCGTGGACAATGCCTTCCTGGATACACACTCCCTGTCCAGGCCTGCTCACTGCCCTGATCTCAGTGTCAAATGATAAGTCAGTTCCGCCAACATGAAATACATGCAAGGTAGTCAGGGAACAAGGCCGTCCCCGGGTGACATTACACATTCAACAGACGCCAAACACATCTCCACGTTGCCCGTCGGGCTGGGTTGCTCGAAGGAAGTTTAGCACCGTGCACTTCCAGTTTTCTTGTGTACAAGTGACGCCAAAATCACAGAGCCACAGCATCGTTCCAGCGCCAGGGGCGGCTGTTTCACTCTCGTGTTTTTGATGACTTGAGGCAGATTTTGTTTCAGCAATAAAGAGACTTTGAATCCTGTGGCTTCAGCTGCTTCAAAGGTCATAATAATACTACTTTTTTGTGCGCCATCGTACTGACGGTATTTTTTTTTTTGCCCTCGAAGATCCTGGCTACCAGAAATACCTCAACTAAGTATTTGGCCCCATTAAGCATGTTTAATCTGGTAAGGCCAAGTATGTATATGACATTTTGATATTAAAAGTATATTGGCCTTAATAAGCACTAACTTTAATCGTAAGCACAAAAAATAATAAAACCAGTGGCTTATTAAAAGACAAAATAAAAAAAAATATTTCAATACTGATTAAAAGGGCAGCTAGTCCACACACAAAATCTCACAATCATAAATGTGCATCTTGCTTTTCATCTTGGTTCATTGTTGGTCAGTTGGACTACTTCTTAACAAATGCTGAGTGGATCACAGTTTTCTTTTCTCGTAATGATGCTTCATAATAAAAATTAACATCTCTGAGTTTACTTGTAGCTTATCCTGACACGATCCTGGTGTTAATCAGTAGTTCAAATTTTCACATGTGTCTTGGTGTTCTTTTAAGGGTTTAGGTAACAACTGAAAATCCACAGCTATTGATCGGCATCATTACATAATACAAGGAATGTTGATGCTTTTGTTACTGTTCATGCAACTCGTAAGGCAGATATATCAATAAATCAGACCTCAAAGTACAAAAAAAACAAAATTTTGAATAATATACTGTTGATCTTTTTTAATTTAAATTTTGTATAGGAAGCAAAAGACTTAATACAAAAATCCAAGACATTATGAACATCCATACAGATGTAATATCAAGTAACAGTTTGTGTTGTTGCTTTCTCAGATTTTTTCTTTTTTTTTTGCCTCAAACAATAAATTATGACAGTACCATAACTGAGCTATCTCAACATACATCCACACTCCAACATACACACGATCATATCTCGCTCAGTCCATGGGGGGTCCTGGGGGTCGGTTGGTGGCTCGCACTGTCCGACTGCCTCGTGGAAATCGGTGGACTTTGATGTGTTTGGACAGGTGGTCACTGCGGGCAAACTTCTTGTCACAAGCGGGGCACTGATAGGGCTTCACACCAGAGTGGGAGCGACGGTGTCGGGATAACTCATCCGAACGTGAGAACCTGTGAGACAGATACAGAGACACCATGAGGAACATGAAGAACCTGAGGAACATACACAAACACAATGAGATTGCAAGAGACACATGAAGGAAAGGGTTGCACAGACAAAAACTGAAGGACACACATCTCAAGAGAGAGAACAAGTAGATTACATACTGTACCAAAGCAAAGACCCCACGAACGGTACTTTGTAATTCAAACCCCACTCTTACATATTTGACCAGGCCAATAGCAGAAAGTCACCTTTAGCTTTTAATACCATTCATACTCATCGGGGTTCAATTTTGTTAAAATTGTCAAGTGAAGCAGAACCCAGCCATAATTCTTTTCCCTTATAAATCAGAGTTGAAATAGTGAGAGACAGATTTCAGTGCATTTCAACGATAGGTCTCTGCTACACAAAAACTGCTCCTTCATGACACTCAGGCTAGAGCGATGTCTGTAACACAATCTCATCCAAACTGCAGACAAAGGCCGAACTGAAGTTAACACAAGCAAACAGTGAGCCCAAGGCTAGAACAGAAGATAATTTATCTTTAGAAACTGTTAGAAAACAGCTGAATGCACTCAATGAAATAATTTTCAAAGCTGAAATTGAGCTCACATCATCTGGACAGGGCAAGTTAAGAGTAAAGATCTACAGGTTCACAAATACTATAAACTAATTAAAAACCAATAATAAAATACATGCGGAAACAATGCAAATGGGATGCAAACAGGAGGTAAAAAATGCTTAAAATTAGATGCTTAAACTGAGTCCTGTGCTGAAAATGAAATGGTTATGGGGAAACAGGTGGCACCAGATATTTTTTGATCTAAGACTGGAGGGAAAGAACTGCAGCTGTGTGGAAAACCAGATAGACAAATCTGATGGGAGACACTGCTGTCTTAACCAAGTGTAAAGTTAGTTAAATTAAACAGCAGTTAAATAGCACACATCATTATGAAAATCAACTCCTGCGTTCCATCTGTACACTGAATACACTGCACGGAAATGGATTTTGCACAAAAGAAATTTCAGTTAATCATTTTCAAGAAACACAGGGAATCTCCTGGACTTGTACTGAAGCATTTTTTCATAGGCCCAGAGTCTATAACTAACTCAAATGTCAGGTAAATTAACTACAGTGCCGAATGTTCAGCACCCTGTAGCTTCAAGCTCAAAAACAGTTGTTTAAACAGCATGTTTAAATGGGTTCTGGAGAAAACAGCTCTCTAGAACACAGGTCTGTTGCCAGTTGGCACCGTCCAAAGCTGAGCCTATTCAACATTCTCCTCACGTGACGGATCTGCCGAGCTGTGCTTCCTGAGACATTCGGCATTCTGAGCCGTTCCAAGCATGCACCCCAACTACTGGGTAAAAAAACAAAAATCAACTATAACAAACTACAATATCACAACTAGTTATAGCTTTAACTATTTCCATTTTCTTTATATGAAGAACTTTATATGGAGTCTGGATGGCTCAGATAAGAAACTCCAGCCCAATCCCTCTGAAGCACTTCAAGCTAAAGGTGCCAGTGGACGGTGCCGTGGCAACTATTCACTGGGAAACTTTTGTTTCCTCTTTACAGTTTAGAGGCAGTTTCTAAGAGTGAGTGCTTATGTACTAAAACCAAAACAGCTCCCAGCACCTTTACCGTTTTCTCATTCAAGATCCAACAAGTTTTGTCTGTGGCTGAGAATGTAAATAGACGGACAGACAGATAGACACATAGATAAATTCTCATAATCAATAATATACATTCAAAATGAATAATATACAATACAAATTAGACGCTAACTTCTGGATCAAAATTAGCCACCTGCCTTGGTTATGTTACAAATAGTTATGTAATTATTATTTGTTTTAAAGTCTTTTCATCTGACACAGCAAATTTCTGGGTAGTCATAAATCCTGAAATTGCTCAGCTGCGAATATCAACAGTATCATTTATAGTATTATTTATAATGGCAGCATATTTATGCCAAAAGCAAAGTCTTTTACACACAAGATACTCTGGCATCAACAATTGTGACAGTATTAAATGCTGTATCAATGGTTGTACTGCTGTTTACTAAACTCTAATCTCTAATCATCTTTGCTGCAAAATGACAACTGCATGCTCTTCTAGGAGAGATCCAGGTTTTTGCAGTGGTGTTATGGCAAGCCAGCAATCCCAATGTTACAATGCATCTACATCCTTAAAGAACATGCTGCCTTAAATCATAAACACGCAGCTGAGCTGGCTTTGTTGAGGGGCGGCGGCCAAGTACGATTTCCAGTTTGTTCCCATCGCTGCCCTGTAATCGAGACCAGAAGATATAAAACCAGCTGCCAGGAACCTATGGATCACGCCTAGCACTCCCAGTGTTTGCACGTCAGAAACTTTAGCCCGGAAAAATCATGCCAGTATCATGCATGTATACACATCTGGGATAAATGGCGGGCTGTGTTATGAACTCTGCACAGCTGTCATCTCTCAGCAGAAGGAAGCCAGGGACCACAAGGCTAGTCAACACAACTCAAACAGCGTCTCTAGCTTTGAGGCACATGTTGCGTTACGCTGACTTAAAATTACAGCGGAAGCAATCACAGTCCAGTCAGAATGATATTTTAAAAAAGCCAGAAATATCTCAAGCATTCATTTTTGGTGCTACAAATCAACATGACAGCTGTTCCACTTCCAGCGGGCCGAATACGGCAGATCAGAATTTGTACGAAAAGCTGAGCTCCAAATGCACACGCAGCAGCTGTGAGGAGGGCATGCAAGGCTGCTGTCGTGAGGCCATGTGGCACGCAGTCCACTTCATACCCCCAGACTCATGCAGAGCAGCCTGGTGACACCCACTTAATCCCCCAGGGCTCATGCCAGAAGACACCGAACGAACCATGTGGAATTCAGTGGCTGGATGACGCGTTATTTTCTTATTTGCAAAGGAAAGCCAAAAGAATCAGGTATACGCTCACGGAAAACACAACATTCAAATAATAGACATAGAAGTGCATTCTCCATTTATGCTTCCATTTTCTGAAATAGGACAACTTCAGAAACTGGACTTAGAAGCATTCTTTGCGCTTCATGTTATAGCTTCAGCTGCTAAACCGGGTCACTGATAAAAAGAGTTTACAAACGGAGGGGTTTAAAGGAGAAGCTAGGCTAGAAGCATACAGGTTTACAATCTACATAGCTTCAAAGATATCACACTTGGTCACCAGCACATATGACGTATGGAAACAGAAGAACAATGGGATTACAAAAGGCGATGATGCTCAATGATAATGGTAAACGCTGAGGTGTAAAATCAACCTCATCGAAAATGAGTCACCATTTGAAAGAGCAAAAGCCTTAATCTAGGCCGACTGCAAGCAGGCAGTCAGCATGGGGCAAAGTCAGCCCTCACATCAAAGGTGATATCTTATCTTATGCTTGAAGATAAAAGAAAAACAGACAAGGGGAAAAATTAGAACACGAGGAACTATAAATTTAATGTGGTTGAAGAAGAGCAACATATGAAAACTTCAACTACAACCCCTATTAACCAGCTGTGATAAACGAGTTGGAGACAAGATAAAATGAAAATATAAAATGTAACCTTCCCACTGCAAGAACACATGAACAAGTGAGATTGGAAACTGGGGCTCATTAAACTGTTGATCATATTTGTCGATATCAAACATTACAGAATTACAGAATTTTCTTAAACATATCTTAACATTTCATTTGTAGGATTCTGTAAGATCCTACTTATAGCATCTGCTATTCTGGGAAGTAACAGTGAATGAGCTTCTTCAAAAAAAAAAGCACCGTAGATGAACAATAATGTCAAGAGGGTGAAAACCTAACTCTGTAACAATCTCTGCAATCAGACAACAGAGGAACCTGTGAACCCTGGAGCTTTACTTTGGAAACAACAGATATACTTGCTTATCTAGTATTACCTCCATCCGCAGCCAGGCCAGGTGCAGGCGAAGGGCTTCTCTCCTGTGTGCCTCCTCAGGTGGGCCTTCAAGTGACTGCTCTTGGTGTACATCTTGGTACATCCCGGGAAAGTGCATTTGTGCATTTTGATGAGGTCAGCAACAGGATTCTTCTGGAATTTCTGACTGCCTGCAAACAGGCCCAGTGCCTGGCTCCCAGCAGCACCCTCCCCAAGGCCAACAGGCTTGGCAGCAATTGGGACTGGAGCGATGCGGACAAACTTTGAGGACATGCTGGGGCTAGTGGACGGGACCACCTGTGGAACCAAGGCAAAGGTTTGGCCATGAATGTTGACCAGCAGCTGGGCGATTTTAATGTCTGGCGTGGCTGGAAGAGCACTCTGTTCTTGTTTGATCTGGACAGGCTGAATCTGCAGAATGACGGGAAGTCCACTAGTGTCTAGAGGTTTGCTTGAAGCCACCTGCTTTGTAATCCCATTTGAGGAGCTTGAGCTTATGCTAGGCACTGACTGTGTACTTTTGCTCTTGGTTCCTGCAATGACAACAACACCAGTGCTATGCACTGTTTGGTCTGTGAGTTGAGTGTCACCATCAGACACTGCTGACCTCTGTCCGCACACCTCCAAGGTCGTCCCTTCACCCACCTCCTGCTTCAAGGCTACTACCTCCATATTTTCCTCAAGGAACTCCTCAATCTCCTCAAGGGTGGGCTGGAAAAGCCCAGCCTGGGCCTCCATCTCAGCCGCAAAGATGGGGAACTCAAAGCTCTCCTCTTTCACAGGCTGCGATGATGAGTCTTTCCGGGACCCCCAAAGGACATCACAGATGGGGGCTGCTGATGCACCATCCAAGGTGGCCTGGGAGAGCAGGAAGTCAAGGATGCTGTCCTGGCTCTCAGCACTGGAGCTGCTGCCGTAGCTAGAGCTGAGCACCTGAGACTCGGGGCTGGAGCAGGAGCGCGGGCTGGAGGAGGAGCGCGGGCTGGAGGAGTCGCTCAAGTCATCCTCAGAGAATGGCGAGGGAAGCACCTGGTAGCTTCCGGCGTCAGTCACCATGTCCGCCGGATGGTGTGCTGACGGGGAGCCCGTGCAAGACAAAAAGGTATCCTCACACGCTACCAAGTGATCCACCATTCCTGGTCCAGAAGACAAAAATTTTAGTCTTTCTTTTTAAATTCAGGTGTATGGTGAACTCTGTGAATAACTTCCCCTTCCTCCCCTTTCTGAAAAAAAAAGGATTGCAAAGATTAATGTAGACACAAATATGTTAGTTCTGTGAAAATGATAAAAAGGAAAGCAAAGGGAAAACAATTAAAAATCATTCATTTTATTCATATTTATAATTAATAAAAATGTTCTCACGCAACAATATATATTAGCTAATCCTTACTATATATTTAAAAGTCTAAAACCGTTTAAAAATCATTTCATAAAGACACCCATCAGCCATCTACAAAGTTGCATTCTTGCTGTGTTCGTCATTGCCAAGTTCACTTGTAACGAATAAGTGGGCTCTTTAAATACAAATGCAAGTCCAAAATAATGTCTCACTAAGTTCACTACCGGTTGACACCAAACGATCATTAATCTCTCAGTTATATGGATTTCAATCTGAAATGTCTGTATATTCAAATATTATTTATCTGTCTATAGCTTGCGTCATACTATTATTCACGAGAATTTCTTTTGAAATACAGTACTAATCGTCCCTTAAGATCTGTTAGGCTTTTGCACGCCACGTAATTCCCGTCAGTGTAACCCAGACCGAGAAACCATAAATTATTGCGTGTGTGTGTAAGAGTGAGTGTACTTTTCACATCTGAAGTATGGTTGTCTGTGCGCCCCCTATACAAGCCACACTAATTTACAGTGCCCGACAGTAACCCGAGAAATAGCAAGCGATTGCAATATTATTAGCACGATTGTCATAGAACGTGTTATCCGATAATTAATTTAGATATTAAAACTAGCATGATTTCCGTTCAGTTAAAGAGTAAAACGATGCAAATAATCTCCAAAAGATCTTCTTGGTTAAGTAAACGCTGGCGATAAAACCACGGTCATGGTCACTGCGCACGTATAAACTGCTGATAAGCATTAAGTACACAATACTTGGATTCTAATTTAATATATAAAATACAACAATATAACAGCAATTGCAAATAATAAATTAAATATGTCATCACAGAAGTGATATATTGTCATTTATTCATAATTAATTTCTACTGCATTAATATTAATTCTGTTCATTTAACGTTCCGTGCAGTGCCACATGCTTATATCAACAGTACGGATGTGGATATTTCGCTTCCTCATGTTTCAGTGAGGGTACCGCTGCTGCCAACATTCAATGTAAACATGTTTTGTCTCCAGCATTCAGTATGCTGTAGTGAAGAAACGCCACTTTACAGTCACACGATCGAGAAAAACATCTAATCTTACCTTATTTCAGATTTTAAAAGCACAGATTCCTATATTCCAATGTATATCTTTCCCCCTCCCCGATTAAAAAATATAAACTGTAGGTAGGTGCTTTTAATTTGCCCTTGAAAGAAGCTTCTCATTGCAATGCCAGGCGACGCTTCTCGGATTTTGCTGCCTACTGTAGTAGTACTATATTGCCATCACATGACTGTTGGTGTGTTATAAGAGTAAAAGCAAGAGACGGCCGCTGAAGGCTCGTCCTCTCTGAGCGCTGCGATTGGCCAGAAGCACCGAGAGGCTGGTCAAACGTTTGTCGTCAATGGAGAATCTGCCTTTGATTTAAAGTCATGGCGAGGATTAGACGTTTTGTGCCTTAAATTTCCAAATACCTTAAAAAAATCAAAGAAGCTGCTATTTACATATCCAAAACTAAATGTTTGCCGGATACTCAGGTTATTATCAAACAGTAACAAGTTTATTATGGTCAGTAAAGGAAAATGTTTAAATGGAAATCAATATTAATATTTTCTTGAAATAATATTTCTGTTGTTGAATTACATAAATAGTCTATACAAATTATAGACATATTATTTCAGGGTGGCACAGTGACAGACATCTGTGCTCCATGTTTGTACCTTTACTTGTCACTGTCAGAAATAAGAGTACCAGTCTCTACCTTTGTTTGTCACCGGGGCTGTACCCTGAAGGGTCTGCCAATTGTACCCTATAGCTCTTGGTAACTATGCCTTTTAAACTACAGAAATGGACTCTGAAGAACATGCCCAAGGCACAAACAACATTACTGTACCACAAAGTGTCCATTTCTATATCTTAAAAGGTATATTACCTATAGCCTGGTTACAACTTTCAGACCCTTAAGGGTACAGCCCCAGCGACAATCAAAGGTAGAGATTGGTACCTTTTTTCTGACAGTGTATGTAGAGTTTGCGTGGTCTCCCTGTGTTCTACCCACACCCCGAAGACATGCAGTTAGGCTTACAGGATAATGTCCTGTTTGTGGCATGAAGTCCAGCCTTATGCTATCTGCTGCCAGTGATGTGCTCCAGACCCTCTTCAAGACCCTGACCAGGATAAGCACTTAGAAGATGGACGAATGGACCCAAATTATTTCAGGTATATTCTCACTTACAGATGTTTTTAAATAACCCACAAAATAAAGAGTATAGCTGAGCATTTTACCTGGAGGTTACAGGAATCAGTTCCATCTGGAATTCTGCACTTGTGCAGCTTAGTGTTTTGGTTGCTGGCAACAGACAAACATGATTTATGTCAAATGTACAGTGTAGGAGATTTGAAATACTACTTAAGACAGTACAGATGTGTATTAGGGGATGGGAAAGAGTGTGTTTCTTGATTGCACTTTGTTTTTGTGTTTGTGGGTATAGATTTGTTTGAAACGCAGCTTTTACTAGCCTGAACCTATTTAGCAGTGCTTTGTAATTTCAAACATTTTGATGACCTTCAATTTGTGCTTGAGGCATAAGGAAACAGATTAACACAACTGAATTATTATTCCTAAGCGAAGGTAAACTGTAAAAATGCTATAACATGTTAAACATTATTGCATAACCACTTATAAATATGGGAAATATAGTCATTCCAAAATAGTGTTTAATCACGTAATTATATCAAGTAATAAGAAATATAAATTTTCCTTTGACCACCAGATAAAGTGAACATGTTTGCAGCAAGATTTGAAGATTGTGATGAAGTGGGGGTCTGAGTGAGTCTTTAACAAAATGGTTACCTCAATATGTAAGCAATGGAGTTATCCTCCCTTCATCCAAAATATCTAAACTGCATGGAAACGAGTGGACAATGTGTCATTCAGTTATAGCAGCAGCCCCAGTGAATATTATTTTCACATCTCTAGTGATTCTGAGCATTCATTCATATGGTTTTAATTAATACAGTACACTGATCACTCATATCCATTTTGCCTTTTCCTGAATCAGCCGTTCCAATATTCTTAAACATGTCTGTACAGTATTCACAGTTTTAGTTGTAGTGTTATTTTCATTTGAAGGATGGCAGGCAGGTCGTTTTGAACTCCATATTTAAGAACGTATTTTCCCATCAGTGTGCATGATGATATTAAGTTACTATAAACTTTTTCTTTGTGAGAGTCCTTCATAGCTGTGTTGATGCTAATTGTGATTTATAGGGCTTTTGATGTGGAGTCTGTTGGTAATAAAGTTGGGGAAAGAAGCTGGAGAGTTCGTTTCACGTGTGTTTGTCCTGGTGACCATAAAGCCTCTGTAAATTGGTCCCCTGCTGATAGTTTCCTGCAGGGCAGAGACGTCACCATAGTAGCTGCGTCTAATGAGAACTTACAGGAAACACAAGGAAGAATGAAAGTTATCGTCTCATTCTTCTACTGTCACGACAAGGCATGAGGCAATGATGATCCAATTTGTGGTTTAGGCACAGAAACTTTATTAGTAACAACAAACATCAAACAGATACAACTAAAGAGACCATGAGTGGTTGAAACAAAATCAGATAGACAACACTGGAGCTAACTAGGGCTGTGATAAGCAGGGGAACGCAAGGCCATCTGATGAACCAAGAAGGAGTTTACACAGACAAACACACTACAACATCTACAGGTAACACCCAATGACCACAGGGGAGCAGGGAAAGGGATGGCACATACACTACACTACATAGACAAGAGTATTGGGACACACCTCTTCGACATTGAATTCAGATGTTTCATTTAGACCCATTGCTACAGGGGTATAAATCAACAGAGTTGGAGATTTCAGTTTCAGAGAGTTTTCACTACAAATCCAGACCAAGGTTTTGTTTCAACCAACCAGTTGAGTACTCTGTGAATGTGACTCTTTATACTCAACTGGTTGGTTGAAACAAATCTTGGTCTGGATTTGTAGTGGAATCAAGCACCTCGCATGCAGTCGGGTTTACAAACACTTGTGAAAGAATGGGTCTTTCTAAAGAGCTCAGTGAATTCAAGTGTGGTGCTGTCATAGGATGCCACCTTTGCAATAAGTCAATTCGTGAAACTTCTTCCTTACTAGATAAGGGCTTCCATGGCCGAGCAGCTGCATGCAAGCCTCACATCACCAAGTGCAATGCCAGGTGTCGGATGTAGTGGTGTAAAGCACACTGCCACTGGACTCTGGAGCAGTGGAAACATGTTCTGTGGAGTGACGAATCATGCTTCTCTGTCTGGAAGTCTGATGGACGAGTCTTGGTTTGGTGGATGCCAGGAGAACATTACCTGCCTGACTACACTGTACCAACTGAAAAGTTTGGTGGAGGAGGGATAATGGTATGGGGTTGTTTTTCAGGCGTTGGGCTAGGCCCCTTTGGTCCAGTGAAGAGAATTGTTAATGCTTCAGCAAACCAAGACATTTTGGACAATTCTATGCTTCCAACTTCGTGGGAACACTTTGGCCCTTTTCTGTTCCAGTATGACTGTGCCTCAGTGCACAAAGCAAGGTCCAAAAATCATTGTTGGGTAAATTTGGTGTGGAAGAACTGGGCTGTACATAGCCCTGACCTCAACCCCATCGAACAGAGATTACGAGCCAGGCCTTCATGTCCAACATCAGTGCCTGACCTCACAAATGCTCTTCTGGATGAATGGGCAAAACTTCCCACAGACACAGAAACTTGTGGGAAGCTATTCCAGAAGAGCGGCAGCTATCCTAGCTGCAAAGGGGGGACCAACTCCATATTGGTGCCTATGGATTTAGAATGGGGGGGGAGGGGATGTCATAAAAGTTCCTGTAGGTGTAATGCCCAGGTGTCCCAATACTTTTGCCCATATAGTGTATATATATCCACAGATAACAAGGGCTAGACGAGGAACAGGAGTGGGCCGTTAACAATCAATAGGCACTAACAACTGAAACATTAGGAACTATGTTTTATAATATCTACATTACTGTATAAGGCCCTACGGACTTTGGGCAGTACAGCACCACCATAAGCCCAACCTGTGTCTTTTTTCTGGCCTGAGTAGCGGAAGGAATATTGCACCATTACACCAAATCTCATGATTCTCAGTTATATACAAGGATAATTATAGCCTGCTGAAATTTGATTGCCTGTTGTCGGCCATGTTTGATGAGCAGATGAACTTTTATTATAGGATTTGTTGGCACATCTGGCCATGACTATGCATACAAAATGTCATCTTTTTATGTCCAATGGTTTCCCAGTTATAAGCTATTTTCAGTTATGGTGCCCAATCGGACGATTTTTAGAAAATTTGGAGTCATCTTGGAAGGTTATGCTAACCATAGAGTTGGTGAGAAGTGGATGTTCCATTGATGAGAAATAGCTCATTATGTTCAAACAGGCCATACCCAAGAAATTACTTGGTCTGTGGCATTGGAACAATGACTGTGATCGAAAATCCTTCAGACAACTTTTTGTTTGTAAGGTCTCAAGATGCTGCAGTTCAAATTATTGAAAATTATTAATTAAGTAATCAGCCCTTTTACATTTAATATAATTGCAAACTGTGAAATCTGTAACATCTGTAATCCATAATTTTGGTGCTGGGTTCTGCTTCCATAACAGTGTATTTTGTTTATTTTACTGTATTCTCACAGTGGGAATTACAGAAGACTAAACATGTCTGTTTCTTGACTGTTTTTTCCTTTTACGGCTTTTAAAGGAGGACACCAGACAGCAAAGCAGAAACAAAAATATCTACACAATGCAAGGTCACAACATTGATAAACAAAATCACATAAGGAAATCTCCTTCTCTCACACACGTACAGTGAAAGACTAATCATTGCTATTTGTTATTAACATTATCTGTACTATTTGAAAAATGACACAGGATGTTTAAAATACATATCTACATACATATTGTTTTATTTTTCTTTCTTTCTCTCAAATCTAGTCCTACCTTCAAAAACATAGTTGGAGATTTATAAAACTCATGTCCAATAGAGAGGTAGGGAAAATGGACACTCCTGTATGTTATTTAATGCAAGATATGAAAGTGAATTTTGAAAGCCTGAAAAATGAGCTCGGGATCTTTGAGCACAGAAGGAGGGCTATTAATCTTAGAAGCCAATAACCTGGTTATGTGGAGTCTGATGTCTGTCCCTGTGCAGATGCGGTGTCACCCGCTGCTGTTGACTTGGGGCACTGACCTGTACTAGGACCAGTGTTGGAAGAGTTAAGGAACATTTGGAGAGGTTCCAGCCCCCTCCCTCAATCATTCCTCAATTTCTATTTTGAAATACGTGGTGAAGTTCACTGATATCACACGACTGGGCTAACCTGGTTGCCACATGCTCTCTATTGCAGTGGAGGAGCCCCGGCCAGGGAACTTGGAGGGAGTTAAAAATGTGAAACACATGAACTGCTGCTACTGAATCCTGTCCTCAAGTGGCTTTTGGAGGTCAGCAACTGAGGGCAGACCTGCAGTTCTGGGCCAACAGATTACAAAATAAAGCATAAAGGACAGGGTACAAAGAGCAGAGGATATGCACGTTTACGTCGACAAGACACTTAAGACAGCAAGAAGAGGGTCAGGGACCCTAAAAACCATGTAACGTAACTGGAATGAGTTGAAGATCCAATATAAAATATAACAGAGCTCAAATAGATGGAAATATCTCTTTTGTATGAAGACCATAGGTACTTTTCATTCTAATATTAATAGTGTTGACACAAGAGGTTTAAATATAGAATACAGAGCAGTATTCCTCCTCTTATATCTGTCTAAACTTCACATAACAAGGACCACTTTAGGATAGACAGACAGACAGTTCATTGATGCTGAACGAAACTTGTGTATAACCTGTGCAAACATTGTATGATTATACAGTTATGATGTATATTATCATATCATGTTTCTTAATGCATATTACAGCTGTTAAGGTATGTTAGGATGTTAAGGTATACTTACATGCTGCTCATGAATGTTCCACAAATGCATTATGAAGGAATTATGAAGGTGCAGTTAATGTACAGTGTTACCGAAACTTCAGAATTCATTCTGCTGCTACCATCTACAGTTGGTCTGATATTGGTGCTGATAGATCTTGCAGTGCAGTTTCAGCATTTCTTTTCTTGAATTTTTGTGAATGGTGACAGCTGACAAGTTCACCCCTGCGCTCGGTTGATTTCTTTGGATGTTCTTTTTGGACCTTCCTGACATGGCCTGATCGTCACATATCGCTTAAACCCCCACAGCACTCATTCTCAGACTTAGTTATTCTGCTGTGGTTCTGTGTGGCATATTCTTTAATCTTCTTATCACAACTGCTTGTTTTTCCATCATGATTGTGACCCTCTGGATTTAATCTCATTTATAAGCTTTACATCAAACCTCATATTCAAATTCCCAGTGACTACAACCAACCCGACACATTCACAGCTCTTATCTGTTTAGAATTAAGGGCACATAGAACACCAGAGCAATCAGAAGCACCTGTCAATCTCTTGTTCAAATACTTATGCTCTGCCAAAATTGGAGGAATAGACACAGCAAATGACATACTTTACATAAGGTTAATATCGGATAGGAAACATTGCCTAGAAATAAAAGCTGACTTTCTATACTTCATCCTTATGTTGATGTCTGGACTGGGAACACACATTATATGAATATAAAACAAAAATAACCCATTTAACCTCACTGTCCAAATATTTTTGCTTCTAACTGTAACTGTCTATACATGTGTTTAGTGTGTTTCTTTTTTTCTATGAAGCTGCATAATTTGTGTCTCAGCACAGATCACAATGCGAAGCAAAGAGCAAACAGCACATCCTATAGGAAGACCTTCCCAGATCTGGGCAACCACACTGCATCAAGGCAAAGGGAGAAAAGAGATGAGGAGGATCTGGAGCTGAAGGCCCTTCTCTCCTCACACTCCCTGTTTCTCACCAGAGAGGGTGTTGGTGAGGACATCAGGAACAGCACCAAGTCGGGTATTGATATGGAAGAATGGTTTCCCAAGGGAAACTGAAATCATTTACAGTGTATGGGCTAGAGCATAAATTTAAATGGCCATAAAGGATTTTAGTTCCTTCTGTTCACTGGAAAATGGTAAGCTTGTGCCCCATGATGGACTAGAAGCCATTCCAGGTATTTCCTGGGGTACCCTCTAGGCAGACAGGCCCCTCTGTGCCGGATATGTGTTTGCAAGGTGGTTTGGTAGATATGGCAAGAGTGCAATGAATGCTGGTTTATGTCGAAAAACATAAATCAAATGTTTATCAGTACTGTAGTCTAAGATGGTTAAAACCTGAAAAATACTGTGGATGTATGAGACAGATAAAAGAGGCGGATGATACATAGATAATACTCAAATTCAATTTCTGTTACATTTCATACAGACTTGGGAGGGCAAGAATTACCACAGTACAACTAAACATTTCACAATTACATCATTAGGCAACAGTTGTAGGAGCCCAGAGTAGGAGCTGGGAGCAGGAAGCGATCGATCATATTGTGCTCATCAAGCTGAAGGTCCTGGGATACTGGGATGTCACTTTAGCACAGCCAGTTCCATCTAACTGCATGATCTTCTTTTTTATTAAAAAGGCATCAAAAGGGTTTTACACACGCACTACAAAGCAGGCATTCATTTCCACTGTGAGGGGATTCCAGGACCCTACATAAATCATGCACATTATTTAAAAGTAAAAAAAAATGTAAACTTACTGTATGAAAATAATGGGTCATTTGAGCATTTCACCCAGCATAGCGCACTTAACTTGATAAAGTTCCATTTTGCCACAATGGGTTTCACCGTTTGAACAAGATCAGTCATATACTTTTTGCTTTATTGCGTTGAGATAAATGTCTGCAGAGACAGACCAATTGCAGAATTGTTTTTTAACTTGTGCAGGAGTACAACTTGATACGCAGTTTTTCTTTGCAGATTCCATTTTAAATAGGCCATGCCGCACACACTACTTTATACTACATTAATAATTAATAACATTATTGCTTCTGTATAGGGAATAGCAATGTTTCCTAATTGAGTCTCACCTCCCCTCTGTTTGTGAGTTTCCACTTGCAATCCAAAGATATGCGGCTTGATGTTTCAGAGTAAACTGAAAGTACATTGTGTACCTGCTCTGTGACATACTGGCATCATATCCAGGGTCACTATGCTGTTGCAAAGCAGTTACCAAAGAATCTAACAACAGTACTCATTACAAGTACAGAACAGGTTAGAGGAACAATAAATGAGTAGTAAGTACTTGCTGCACTCCAGCCTACAGCAGATTTTTTCTCTCTCCATATTTTCGGGGTTGCAACTCTTACCCATTTGGCGTGACACTCTCACGCTCATACAAGAAATCTCACGGCAAATTGATTGATTGATACAGTATATTATTCCACTATATGCCTAAAATTAGCTGAATCAAAGGCACTGGTAGTTTGCAAACCCTACAGGCTAATTGCAAGGTAATAAAACTGTTACATACATGTAAATGAGTGTGCAGACTTGTCTCAAATTGAAAATCTCGTGCCAGCTAGGTGACCAAAGTTAGCAACGTGGTATTTGAAAGCTGCAATGATTGGTGTACTTTCATGGATACTGGATCATTTCAAGATCTCACTTAAACTGTAAAAATAGTACTTAATAATAAATTAAAATCTTGCTGAAATTAAGCACTGTGCAGGAACTGATATTTTAACTGAATTATGCCTCAATGTCCTAATTTGGTTTGTCATCCACTGTAGAGTAAATGTTGTATTTCAGGAAGAACTGTTCAGGTTAGACATGAACTTACTGCAAACCCAGAAAAACAAGGGCTAGGCTTCTCACTCTTTTACCTGCCTCTTTCCTACTAAAAAAAAAACAATAACTTGAAATTGAACTCATTTAAATTTAGTAAGAAAAACCTTCATGAAGGAACTAAAGATGGCTAACTGGCATATTTACAGAAATGTTATCACTTTGCATTATCCCTGTCAAACAAACCAACAAACAAAAGTGAAACAATGAATGAAACGAAAGGCAGCTCTGAGCATAGCATGAAGGACTCTCTCACATCAATGAGTCTTGGCTGCCCAACAGCCATGGTTATTCCCTCCAAGGAGCACCGTTGGTAGGTCCTTACCATGACCATGAGCAGCCCACAAGCCATTTCCGAGATGCTTTATCTCCATTGTCAGGCCCCTTATGTAAGTAATCCAGGTTTCTATTGCTCTCAATTTCTTCTGCATTCAGCATGTCAACTATAAGCACCAAATGTTAGCTTACCATCAAATATATTCCAGACCACATAATGAGCTATTTGAATGAGATAAGTTACAGATGGTGGCAGCATTTGTGCTCATCGGTGTATAAAACAAGTGCATTATCCACAAATATTTTAGAACATCTAGACTTTAACCTAAAAAATAAACTCATCCAAATGGGTGGTTTATAGTTTAGTTCTTTAGGATGCTATGTTTGAGATCAGGAGGTCATTGGTTCAAATCTCGTCGTCGGCAGAGTTGATGCCATAGTTGGGACCTTGACCAAGGTCCTCAACTTCAACTGCTTCAGCGACTGGCTGACCCGGTTTTCTTGGATAAAAGCACTGGCTAAATAAATTATTGTAATAAATTATAAATCAAGTAAAACATTTATCGGATATGTAACCAAATGAGCTGAGATTTTATTAGTCATTTCCTTAGGAGCTACAGAATTCCCAAAGTTCTCACAGTGGGGTCTGCAGTTTTCAAAGAAAGGTATAGAAGTATCACAGGAACACTTCTGGCGACACGTCACAACATTCAACAAACTATAATATTTCAGGTTTCAACAATACCAGAGTAACATAGAGAACAAGCAGTGTGTTTTTTTCTCTGCAGGTTAAACACTCATAGGTACATACAAAAAGTTAAGAAAATGTTTCTTTTGAAAAATATCAGGTGCTCCGCTCACTCCAGGCCCTTCTGGCTACTGACACAGGCTCCGAACAGTAAGATGTCTAACAGGATGCTGCCGTCGGGGGAGGTTCCTGCAAGACAGCAGACAAACTTGGTTACGTCCCCATTATGAGTCTCTATGGCCCAAAATTCATATTTCACACACACACAATCAAACTGTCTTACACACACACACACACACACAATAAAAATGGCATGTGCAAGAGTGTTTCATATTGTATGTGAAAGGTTTGATATTAAGTGTCATAGTTTGATGGAAACAGAAGCCAGCCAGAATGGTCACCCGGAATGGTCACCCGGAATGGTCACCCGGAATGGTCACCCGGAATGCCCTAAAGGCCTAGAGCCATTCCCCTTAAATGTGCACTTTCTCATAAGCTGAAGAATAGTGCTGAAGACCTCTTCTTATGGCAAGCAGTTAGTATCACAGGTTTGTATAACAGCCCATTAATATTACGTAATAACCTTAATGGGATAATATATGATTCCGACTTCATGAAGCGAAATATTCCAAACAATTTTAAGAGCGCCATCAGCGAGCTTAACAGGCCTTTCCTGCCATCTAGAGCCTTAAACTACACCCCATTAAACACTCCCACAAAAGTAATAACCAGGTGATACTCTTAATTACTCATGGAGTGCTGCAATCAGGTGAATTCCCAAACTCTGTAGAAACTTCTGAAGGACTGAAGCCAGCCAGAGTTCAAGCTGTGATTCAAGCAGATGGGCTACATACTGAGACATTCTGGCTTTCCGTAAATACCCACATTTGTAAAGTAGGGGAGGGTTTTTGCACCAACAACATTCCTAAGAGTGTTATAAGCAGTGAATTTTAATGAAAAGGCTCTAAGCCAATCAAAATTCAAATGGCTTCCGTTTCAATCAAAATCTCATGCACACTATCAAACTCCAACACTAAACATCTCACACCTGCAAGTTTAACAGTGTGAGAAGAATGTGTCTGAGTTTGGCAACGTTTGAACAAGAGTTTGGTAATGTATGTAAGAACTATGAATTTTAGTCTACAGAGCCTCTCATACTCACTAGGCACTAAAACATTTGCCCTCTGCAGTGTCCGCTGTAAGATTAGCACCACCTGCTGTTTAAATACTATTACAAATTACTAAAACATGATCATTTGGTGCAGAATTATTTGGTCAATTAACAAATTTTTAATTTAATGTAATTCACACAATATTACTATATTTGCACCCATTTTCACCAAACTAGGTGTTTTACTGAAGCAATCTGATTAAGTAACGCCCAGTATATAAGTATACTAGGCTGAAGACACTGACTCTTACCTGGGAAAGGATGTCCCACTGCTAATAGCAGAAAAGCTTGAGGATGAAACCATATTTCCTGCAGTTTGCTGAGGTCAAAAGCGGCTATGATGCTCAGTCACCAGGCATCACCTTGCAAAAGACCCAATGAGAACCTCTGCTGTGCTACATGGGTGAGGAGGATCTAGGATTCAACCACCTTGGGGTTCACTCTGCCTTCATCGCAGGCAGCAGAACACGACAAGGCCTCGCTGGAGACGCCTCTCGCAAAGACTCCCAGATCCTTGCCACCATGCACAGTTTACGCACAGTTCTACTCCAACTGGGCCAAAGTAGGGGCATTAAGAGAAGTCATCACCACGAAAGTGGTGCTGGACTCTTTGCTCGTCACTATTTCACAATTTGTGAAGGATCCGACAGCAGGACAGCAGAAAATTTTCCACAGTCTCTCACGTTGTTGAACTTACTCTAGTCTCTTCCACGGAAGTTTCAGAGTGCATAAAAATCCTGTTTTGCATAAACGGAATGATATTCTGGCTGGTGACTGTGATGGTTCCTTAAGAGTGTAGCATGAAGAAAGCCACCACAATGTAGCGCACTGCCAGAGAAGAGGCACGGGAGATATGGTCAACAGTACTCACATCAGGACGAGACATCACTGATATTGTGTCCAAAGCAAAAATAAATCAGATGTTTACTCCTTGTGATCCTTGCCACTTTTTGCATGCAAATATTTATCGGCTTCATCAATTCAATCACTTTAAACAGAATGGTGATGCAGGTCAATCAGCTGTAGCTGTCTGATGAAGAATTCTTTGTTTTCTCCGTTTCCTAAGGCTGGCCACAACTGAAGCTAAGTGGCACGCCTTCTTCTTCAGGCGGGCTGACTCTTTCCGTTCATTGCTCAGCTTTTTTTGATAAATGTCCAGCTGCTCATTCAAAATATCCAGTTTTTGCTTTAATTGCCGAGATGACTCCAGAACTGCATAATTGTGCTCATTCACAACCATTTTTCTGAAAAGAGTAGGGACTGTATTTCCACTAACAGTAGCTATGGATGGGCTTTTAAGAGACATTGTTGGTGTTGCTGTAATTACTGGTCTCTTTGGGGGCTTTCGACCAAGAGATTTCTGAAATAACAAAAAAAAAATATATGTATATAAAGAATCTGATTCTAAACCTTTATGCGGCATATATTCTAAAAGACATGTAATTGCTTAAAAATTGTGTATTTTATTGCAATAAAGATTAAAAAATAGCCAATATACTGTATGCTCCTAACTTGCCATGAACATTTGAATAAGTACCTTTTGTAGATGAGCAGGGAAGGAGAATATAGTTGGCACAGCCGAAGGTGTGAGACGCACTGTTAGTCCACTTCTGTCAAAGCAGTCCTCCTGGAAGTGACTGGAGCACAGAAGTGACCGTTTCGATGGCATCCACTTATCCCACTTCATATTTATAACCCACTGCCGTAGCCTTTTGGGGTCACTTGCTGGAAACCTTTAGCCAAAAACAGCATGGGTATTCAAATGTTGGACAGTACGTAGTTGTAAATTCACATCGTTTGCAACAGTCAAAGGCTAGCACTTTTGCAAGAGTTGCATTTCCCCAAGGTAAACAATTATTTGAAGGTTTTAAAATAAAGAGCAGACGAGGTGTAAGTATACGTCTAGCATTTATTACAAATTATTTGCAAAAAAACAGTAATGTGACCTTTATGCTGTGCAAAGTTGATGTGACTGTCCCATTTCAGTAATGATCATATTGGTTGTTCAGTCTTCATAGATAATAATAAATAATGATAACAATAACGATAATTAAGAAAGAAATATATTGCTCGACAATCGTGTGAGAAAATCGCGATCTCAATTCAACGCGGAAAACACTGAGGTTATATTTTACCAAGAACTGCCCAACCCTTGTGATGTCACTGACTTGCAAGTTTGGGATCTAAGTCAACAAAGTAAAATAACGATGAATAAAAACCGGGGGACAATGGAGGAGAGGAAGCAAAGCTTCACGTGTTGATTTAAACAACTTCACCTGTGAAATGTGAGGCCTTTCTTCTTGGCATCTTCTGAACGGTTTCTACACCGATACGCAGAACACGAAGGCATTCTGGCATGTTTAGTTAAACAGCTGTTACTGAAAAATCAATATGTGGAGCTTATTTACTGTACAAGCAGAAGAACGCAAAAGATTCTTAAGTTAATATCAACGAAGGCCGCGTCTTTTTTGCAACGGTATAGACAGCAAATTGTAGCTTTTATATTTTTCCAAAAATCGTTTAGCTGCGTTGTAATCATTAAGCGCCAAAGTTTTTAACCGAATAATGCTGAGTAGTTTCAAGCATGCAGTATTTGTTCTAGTGGGAACATCCAACATACAGCCAATCCACACCGCAGATCGTAAAATTTCCGGAATCACGAACTTCCGTCGCTTCTATAGTACGTCATATATTCGCGACACAGCTGTAGATTGTAGTTTGTAGGTTAAAAGTTTGTGGTTACAGACACATGCTAAAGTAATCATGAACTAGCCGTTTAGCTCTCCCGTTGTCTAGCTACATGTTATATTCTTGGGAAACGTTTAAGTAGATAAATTGAAAAAATAATAGAGTCTTAGTGATGGTCAGATGAAGCTTCTTGGAGCACTGAAGCTTTCCAGGCAATTGTGTAGAAAAGTCTTTCGTTTCTAAAGGTTTCGAATGACCACTAGATTAACCTATTGGTAAAAAAAACCAAGCAATACATAGGTCAGTATACACCACTCTGTGAAACCTGTGTAATTCTCAGTAAACATTGTAATGTACATTCAATATTTTGTGTCATTTGCGACCCTAAATTTGTTTTGTTTTTGTTTTGTTTATTTCTGTTTAAAATGGCTTTTATTTTATTTAGTTTTTTGTTTATGTGAGGAAACGGTTTTTTGTCAAACGATTTAGAATTTCATAATGAAATTATATTTCACTTCTCAGTTAGAACTATAAATATCTTCTATTAAGAAAGTCGATGAGTTAACAGATAATAATGATAAACAGAAGAAGCCACATGCCCTTTGTTCCCACCAAATGTCCCCACCAAATGTCCCCACAATGTGACAAAAACCTGTTATTTTGGCGTTATGGGGACCATTTTTTCGGTCCCCACAAGGGGAAACTTAATGATACAGCTGTATTTAAAAAAAATATTGTGTCTTACCACCAGATGGCAGTATAGGCCTTTGACTTCCCAAGAAAAATGGGCATAGCATTGCTTGTAACACATTTGAATCTGTACACTCAATTACACTTCTTATCCAAAAACACTCCCCAGCATCAAATGCCTTCAGCATTCGGTTTGATTTTGATTTCTTTGTACTCATGCACAATTTTCAGTTGACTGTAAGTGTATGAATGTCTTGCAATAGAGTGGTGTTACAGCCTGGAAGTAAGTGATTGTGTGTGTGTGTGTGTGTGTGTAAGGGGGGGTCATGTATACATTACATTGTGGGGACCAAATGTTATTTTGGTGGGGGAAACTCAATTGTATAGAAATCTGTGATTGTAAAAAAAAATGCCATAAACCTTGTATTTTATTTGTTTTTTATGGTTAAGGTTAGGGCTGGGTAGGGGTTAAGGTCATCATTATTATGGTTAAGGTAATGTCCATAGAAATGAATGGAGACTCCCCACAGAGTGTATCAGCGTTTTTTATCCATTACTTTTACCTAAAATAATTACATTTCTACACAGAACCATTCATAGTTTTTGAGATGTTTGGTTTTGCCCATCTAGTCTGTGATTTAGGCAGGGAGGTGGGCAGCTGTGCTCCAAGGGAACTTTTTTGAAGTTCCTATAAACAGATGTGCTCTTCCTTTCATTTTATCAAATGAAATTCTCTCCATATGGAGCACAATGAATGCGCTCTGCTACTCATTTAAATTACAGTGCAGGAAAGCAATATGTAGGGGCAGGCCCTTAACGTGGAACCCCGTGTGAGCTATGAGTCATGAATGCAAAAAAATATATAATCACACCAAAGTGGTTGTCAGAAGGTGGGGAGATGAAACAAGCACTGAAATGTAATTGAAATTCATGCTCATAATGAGGGAACACAAAGGAATACCTTCAACTTGAGATATAGCTCTGTTATTTTCCAACAAAAAAACCTGGTTTGAGGGGAATATCATTGTCAGGCATGTTTCAGTCAGTCTGTTACCCTCTACCGTCACTGTCGTTCTCTGTCAATGTGTGTCCAGACCCCTTTTCTCCAGGAAAACCTTCTTCCACCACTTTGTTCCTTCCATTTTCATGGTTGTTTCTCTGCCTGAAAAGTCAGTTTTCACTTCACAGAAGCTATATCTGCTAAAAGGTCGGGCACTCTGGAGCAGGGGAGATAGGGCATCTGGATTTATCTCTTTTTTTCTCCTCTTTCTGGGCTTCAATGCCAAACGCTGAAGAAAAAAAATCAGGTATGCATCTTATAGAAAATATTTTGTGATCATCAAATGTTAATTAATGATCATAATGGCAAGTCTTCCTTTTGCAATCATAATATAAACCTCAGTGGCCTCAATGATTCTGATTTTCTAATTTAATTTTCTCGTGAAACTGGGTCAATGCATTGGACACCTGACACCAGCATTTTTGACTGACAGCATATTGATTGTGTGAATTAATATCTCTGATATATTTCAAGCAAGCTGTCAAAAATTCACTAGAGGAATCACAAAAAATGAATTGAAAACTCATGAGAGTTTAAAGTGCTTTAATGATATCCGATATGTTCACATACAGCAAAGTTGAAAATCAGTAGCTGTAAACAACTGGAATGTAATTACAGGCAAATTCTTTATCTTTATCACAATAGATGTAAATCTCATGAAAAAGACAAACACATCACAGAAAATGGCACAAATGTGTCACTGGATGAAATGGATTAAGAGATACTATTATATTTGGTCAATGGTATTCAGCATTTCGCTTTTTTTTCTGAAACTGTTTGTTTTCACTTTCTCTGTTTGAAGAGAAGATCCAAGAGAATATTATGACACACATTGCACAATCTGAAAAAGGCTCCCAGAGGAAGAGGAAATGAAATGCGTGTCTCGATTCATTACAGCTGATGCGGCAAAGTGAGCTGTGCAGCTTGGAAGTCAATAGCACAGGCATTGGACTGCTTTCCTCCAAAGTCTTCTAAAGGGACATTTCATTTAGAAGATTTAATATAACTTAATATAAACATCAATTCAGCTGCACCTGCTGTTCTCTAACCATCTTTTTGAAGGGACAATCTCTAAGCAATTAAGGTGTTTCTTGAGAAGTGGATTCACCTGCTTATTAGTGTTAATTGAGACAGGCACTTATTCAGGACATACATTATACATTGTGCCTGAAACAGAATCCTGAAGAGTTTCCTTGATATATGTGTTACAATGACACGACTTGGGCTACATTTTACACACATCAATATATTCTTCAGATGTAAAGTTCACATGTCAGAATTCATCCATGTACAGATGTAAGTATTACCTTAATTAGAAATAATTAACGGGTGAAGCCAAATTCAAGTTCATGCTCCCAGTTGGTTTCATGGGCATCATTAATTTGTTAACTGGCTTACCATATTGTATATCTGTGCTCAACACAGATTAAGGAGAAATTATCAGTGCCTTATGCTTTATTGTGAACATTTACATGGACTGCCTACTAAGTATCAACATACTTTAAATTTCTGAACCAAATAAATCCAGTAAGATATGCTATCAGGAGGCAGACATGACAGGGAATTGAAATATACGGGCCTGAATGGTCCAGTTTGACGCGTATGTTGTGCCATACATGCAGTTACATATATTTCAGAGTTCACTAAAGGTCACAAGTGCTTATAAACTCAACAAGCACAATAAAACCTTGCATATGGACTGAAATGCTTTCTGGAAGTGAAATATGTTCTTTAAGTGTCATACCTCTGATGAAATAGGTTTACCGAATCTAAAATAGCAGTAGCATGGATTATCAGTGGTGTCCTTTTTTGGTGTCCTTGTTCATGCAATACAATGAGTGTCACCGTAAGAGACCCCCCCCCCACCCCTAAAAGCTAAGCAAAGGTAAACAGATTTTGAACAGTATTATTGCATACATTTCTTTCTACTTAACCACAAATCAAAATGTACCAAAGGTTATTTTAAGAGGCATATCAAATTTGCACAAAATAAATACTGCATATGTAGCACGCATTTTGCGCATTTACCAAGAACGAATACAGACTTCAGACATTGAAAGAGAAACATTTTAAACATGTTTGTCCTTGACCATGCACAGAGGAGAAGCAATTAAAATAAACAACTGATGAATATCTAAATATACATTCATGCTTCATCGGAAAATATATAAAACGTAAACTTTTAACAACTTACCCTTCCATTTGAAATATTTGTGTTTGGTTTTTGAGTTAGGTGAGACATCATTTTTACAGCATTCACATTACAGAAAATCTAGCTCTACTGTACAACTGTAATGTTAAGACAGCTTGTTAATAAATACACTATATGTATACATAAAACTGTCGTCTACACTTTTTCAACAAAATCAATAATACAAACTACATAAACTTTACTTTCTACATTTTGGCAGTTCCTGTTAGCGTACAAAAAATAAAACAAAAACGAATCATTATTAAATCTGTACGACTGGCATTAGCTTTGTACAATACACAATCATTTAATATGTTGCACTCATTTTGTTGGTACTGAATGAAAATGGAAAGTATTGGTATCAGTATTAGCTGTTTCAGGCATGCAACTATCTAACTGTAAATGACTAAGTTAGGCAGTAGAAGGAACAAACACAAACGTGTGTTCACGCGCACACATTACACCCAAAACGCATGTCAATGACAACTGATAGTAAGGCCACTTGTGCTCGCGGTGATTTTCACTGCTAAGTACAATCAGCTGCCACCTGTCGCTGAAGCGCACGAGTCATGCCTGTCATTCACCAGGCTACCTGCTGTCACTAGTTTGACCCTTTAACCCACGAGACCTTGAATCTGCCAGGCTATGGGACTTAAGGCCACACATAGAGGTGACGCTCTGAACAAAATGTCAATGTGAGGCGGGCGAGACAGACTATTATTAACAACCATATATTTAGGTCTGTTGTGTATTTTCTGACATGTTTGTTGGCAGCATTTCATCAAATGGGACAGTCCCCCTTTGTAATTTGTGGGTTCCTCACTTCTCCAATTTCAGCCTGTTAAATAAAGACAAATTAAAGAGTAGTTGTTTTTTTT